GAGATTTCAACACACACTTAGCAGGACTCGTGGCCTTTGCCTCCCTATTCTTATTTGTCAAAAGCCGTATCACATTTCTCAGCCTCTCTGTTACTTTCCTTGAATTAGGCAATGCACCCTGGGAAAAGTCAGCCTAGAATGTCATTTCTGGAATTTGGCCTGGTGGTTTTTAGAGCTAATCAATGTCTGAAATATATTCTAGGCCAGAGGAATTAAATGATGGAATGTGATATTTAAGATGAAATAGAACCTCTCCTTTTGGTCAGAGCTGCTTTATCACAACCAAATTAGAACTCTTGGCATTTCATTACCTGAAGTAATGCACAAATAGTCTGTATGCTTATGGATGCAGTATACAAGAGGGAACACCTCAAGCCACCTTTATGTATTCACTAAAATTTCCATTCATTCATTTATTCACTTAACCAACAGTCACACTGAGTTCTATTTTATGGAGACAGAGCCACTCACATGACTTTGATAATTTCAATTTGTCAGTTCAGATGTATTGTTCACAATGACACTGAGGTTAAGAATTAAGTCAAGTCAAATTCAACCAGGTGCAGACTAAGAGAATGCATATTCCACATGTGTGAAAATGCATATTCTAGATGCAAACATTTAACCCTTGAAACCAAGAAGAGTCCTTCTAGTCAGTTCTATACCTGTTACTGTAAGTGGACACCTCTCTCTGCTTTAGACTATATGTAGTCCTTTGTTCGTCATAAACGGAATGTACCAGGGAGTGTGTGTATACATCAGACATTACTGGGCCAAATGAACTGTCTGTATCTTATGAGGGTGGGATGTAGTGCTTTACATGAGAGAAATGTGTGCAGGCTTACATCCTGATCAGTTGCTAGGCATGACTCACTGGCTATAGGGACTGATACCCACAGTTGCTGTCTCTTTTCCACAGTTGCTCTAGTAACTGACCCAATCTCATAGGAAACAGTGGGCAGAGGTAGCTGGAGATTGGCTACTATTGCTCGACTTGTCACTGATTCTATAGTCTTTCTTTTATTGGGTCATCACATAGTGAACAAATCTTAAGCTTCAAATTATTCTGACATATACATTCATCTATTCTGGCCTCCATCTTCAATTGGCTGAACCTGTTATTGAACTTCATGCCATTGGAATCATGTAATAATATATACTTTTGTGTCTGGCTTCTACTCTAGAGTGGTCTGTCACATTGCTGTGTATATCACATTTGTCTTTTCATTGCTTAACAGCAATACATCACATGGAACATCAATAAGAACTTACTCATTGTAGCAGTTCAGCTGGGATGTTCTAAGCTAGTAGGAGCTCCACGAAAGTAGGAAGATGGGACCTGGGAGATGGCTCAGTTGGTAAAGTGTCTGTTATGTAAGCATGGGGGCCAGAGTTTGGATAGTCAGTACCCAGGTTAAAGCCAGGAGTGGTGGTACATGTCTGTAACCCTAGCACTAGGGGTGTGAGTATGGAGACAAGCAGAGGTCACTGGACATCCAATCTAGCCAATTGGTAAGCTCTGGATTCAGTGAGAAACCTTGTTTCAACAAATAAGGTAAATAAGGTGGCTTGTGATAGATGAAAGATCTGATATGGATGTCTGAATTCTACACACAGGTTAGGTGTACACACACACACACACACACACACACACACACACACACACACACGGTGACAGACAGGACTCACAATACATCACCTAATTGAAGGTAGTGTGATTGCCAGATGTGATGGCACATACCTTTATTCCCAGCCCTTGGGAGGCAGAGGAAGTTGGGTGCCAACCTGGTCTACACAGCAAATTCTAGAACAGCCAGAACTACACTGAATAAAGGGGCCATGGTGATAACCAGTCCCTGAACTGCTGCTAAGGGACATGTCTTGCTACTGTTGATGTCCGGGGGTCTGGGCTGCCACTAGTGGCCGTATTGGTGTCTGAGAGCCATTCAGCTGCTGGGCCATGCAAATCTGGGTGGCCTGTGCTACCATATGGGTCCATGGTGACATCCAAGCCCAAGCAGCTGCTGAGGGTCATGTCTGGGTCCATGACCCTATTGCAGCCAGGGTCCATGTTGATATCCATGGCCTGTAATACCTCCAGGGACCATGTGAATTAACCATGTTGAAATCTGATGGTCTTGCTGAGCCAGCCCTACCTTTCATTGACACTGGGAGATCTGGCCCTGTGCCCCTCTGGCTACTGCAACAGTAGAGCTGGTCCCATCCTTCATGGGAGAGCTCGCCTTGCTCCTCACCTGAGGGGGGCGGTCCCAGGGGAGGCCCAGACTGACCAACACAGTAACCTTCCAGACCCACATCCAGAGCTTTAAGTTGGCACACCCCAACATCTACCCCATCTATGACCTGCTTGGAGTGTGAAGGTACCAGCCCGGAGGAACCATAGCCACAGGATCTCCCTGACTTTGGACAAGAGCAAAATATCTGAGTTTTGGTGAGGGGCCAGTATGATGGTGTGCCAGAAGCCAGGGTCCTTGAACCAGACCAACAACTCATTACAGTGAACATTTGCAAATAAAGCTGTTTGGACAAAAGGGTATACTGTGTGAGACAATCCATAACTCCCAATGCCACAAATGAAGAGGTGATGGAGAGGCAGGAAAGACAAAGGAGCAAAGTAGTTTTTTGTTTGCTTTCTTTTAATATATTTATTTTTTTATTTTATTTTATTTTTTTGCGGGGGGGGGGGTTGGAGACCATACAAGAACAGTAAGCAGCTTTGGAACTCATGGAACATGGATGGGTGGACATCAAAACTACACCTGTACATGTCCTGAGGATCTAATGCTGTTACTGAGCATAGCTCTGCTTATTGCTCTCAGTCACCACGTCCCTCATAATCTATGGGTTGTATGAAAACTCTAAGGGGTTTCTAGCCCCCCACTGGGCAGTGTTACCTGTACTTAACAATAACGATGACTGACTTTTTCTAAGCATTGCTGCTGGAGCAGATTAATGATTCAATCACCACCTTTAGAAAGAATTTAGACATGTAGATTGTTAGTAAAGTCAGGTAAAAATGATTTTGTTAATGGCTGAGGTAAAAAATCTTGGAGAACAATTTTAAGCTTAGAAAGGCACATTTTTAATAGCTGAGCTAGGAACCTTTGGAGGTCAGGGAGCAAAAACAATAGCCTGGCTATGGCTGGCTGATGTACCTTTCTTGCTAGGATAGGTTGATGATCAAAGGCAATGATTAATTTCTTGTACCCATTTTTGCCCCGAGCTTCCTAATAGGATTTAATAAAAAACTGCTGATGAGTGGTTATGCACTCTGAGGACTTAAAAGTAGAAACGGCCGATTGCTTTTCTAAACAAAAGTTTAAATTTGTGATTAGGAGTTTTTTCTTATAAGATTACCTTTTGTTATTAAATAATAAAATGATTGATCCTTTGTAACAGAAAAATATAGTCTTACAATAAAAGAACTGGCTGAGGAAAAAAAATACCTTGCTTACTTACACTTTAATGTTAATGTATAATAAGATGCTAACATGAATGTAAGTGGGTTCTTGAGGATAATTTTTCACCTGTAATACATAAAGTGTTTAATCATGTAAGGGAAATGAGAAACACTGTTTTTTACTTCTATTCATTGTAGTCATTCACTTGAAAAAGAGAACATAACCACCTTGTAATTTTTATATTGCTTGAAAGATTTTGCTGGGATACATAAGCTGTATGGAAAAAAAGTAAAGGCACACAGAAGGGTTACATATGAATAGAGATAAGAAAAGAAATAAAGAACATACAAAGACCCTGACATGTTGAAGATGTGTGTGTGTGTGTGTATGTACGTATGTAGTTTTCCCTTTTTCACCAGCCCAAGAGAATTTTTACACCCTCACATAAAAAAAAGCCAGTTGAGTTATTAGCCTGAGCTACCAAGGAATGATCCCTCCAGCAGCAGTGGGGACAATACAAGGGTGAAGGGCAGGCATGAAGGGATGGGGATTAGGGTGCATGATGTGAAATTCCCAAAGAATCAATTAAAAAAAAAAAAAAAAAGAAAGAAAAAAAGAAAAAAGAAAGGAAAAAAGAAAGGAAAAAGGGCTAATGTGAGAATCCAGGAGAGATCTAGTTTCTCAGCAAGGATGACTATGTCATTGATTTTGTGGCTCAAGAACATCAGCAGCAGGTTTACATAACAAAGCACACAGTCTGAATCACAGCCAAAATTAAGAAATGAAAATCAAGCCAATTTTCTGGATATGTCTCTTATCAGGCAGGAGTTGAGTACAAATGTTTCCCACGATGCAACACATACTAGTCAAGGTGGTATTACTTTATATCCTGCAATTATGTGGTAAGGTCAATCTTTTAAATTTGGATTTTGTTTTGCTTTGTTTTTGAGACGTGGTCTCACTTTGTAGTCTTGGCTGGTCTGGAATTCATGGAGTCTGTGACTGCCCACTGGGTGTTGGGATTAAAGGTATGAATTACCATGACCAGTTTCTCTTCTTTATTTTTTGAGGTAGGATCTCCCACTGAACCTGGAACTCACTGACTTCGATAGGATGGCTGGCCAGTCAGCTCCAGAAATCAAATTTTGCTTGCCTTCAGTGAACAAATTATGCTCCAGTACCCAGAAATTACACGGGTGTCCAGGATCCAAACTTAAGACCTCATGATTTCAGCAAGCATTTGACTGAATGAATAACTTCTTCAGACCCTCCACAACTCATTTCTCTATACCACTTGGTAATATATTTATCTGAATGTTCCAGTTTGTCCATTCAACCAATTTAATTAACATAACAGTAATATTTAACACTTTCTTGCCCTTACAGAGTCCCAGATTGCAATCTAAGACCACCATTCACTGTGATAGCCACTAGCTACTAAGAAACTAATTATATATAGTCAGTCCCTAATTTGTAGGAAATAAAACTGAAAGTATTTTAATACATTTAAGGTATACCACGTTTAAGATAATTTATGCAGACTAACCTATTATTATATCCAGATATTAACAAACCAGACCATATTAAAATAATTTATTTTTAATTTTCAACAAACACTTGCTACATAGTTGTATCTTCAAAGATAAATCAACTGTTTTGAGTTATCAAGAAATTAAAATTTATAAATTTTTTGTAAAAAAATTATTCATTAGACAGCATTTAAGTCTAAAGCTGTCTTAAGATCTTAAATTTGACACACCTGTGCAAGTTTTAAAAAGTACATCAATGAAGACACAATATATGCCTATTCTGTAACACCAAAATCTCATTATAATATATGCCTATTCATCATATTCATCATAAACTTCCTCACTGCTATTACCTTGTGTTTCTACCTCTAAAGTAAGCCCTGACTATACAACAGTGAGTGGTTCTTGACTAGAGGTGTCTCTGCCCCTATTAGTATCATCCATTACAATTTTGGTTGTTGCTGGGTATGGTGGTGCATGCCTTTAATCCTAGCACTTGAGAGACAGAGACAGGTGGATCATGAGTTCCAGGGCTAGCCTAGTCTACAGAGTGAGTTCTAGAAGAGCCAAGGCTATACAGAGAATCCCTGCCTCAAAACCCAACTGACTCCCCACTTTTTTGTTGCTGTTGTCTTAGCAAAGGGGTGCTAAGTGATATTGAGTGTACAGGGGTCAGAGATGCTGCTAAACATCCAGCCTGGGTCAGACCCCTTCAAGATTATCCAAGCCCAGGGCTGGTAGTGCTAAAAGTTTTCTCAACTCTTGTAAAGAACTCACTCCTACCTTATGACAAACATCTCTTCCACTATAATTATGAACAGATTTTGCTAAATGATAAATATTTAAAAGATTTAACCACTTACCATCAGCACTAAAACTAGTAAAATAATCTCAGAATGGTTAAAGCACAAAATCAACCAAAAATGTCAAAACTTAGCATATAGAATTGGCCATTAAAATTTGTGGGTCAAGCATCAAAGGATTCAAACCAACTGCTTTAATATTTGATCTGTACTGAATATGCAGACTTTTACTTACCACAAAGCACAGTATAACTATCATTTACGTTAGCATTTACACTGTGTTCAATGCTACAAGTACTCCAGAGTGAGGTGAACCATGAAAGATGTACATAGGTCAAATACAATATCATCTTGTATAAGACTTGAGTATCCAGAGTTCTGGTTATGAAGCAGGTCCTGAAGTATGAGGGATGATTAGATACCATGTACTCCCCCTTGAACCTGATGTACCTGTTAACTGTTATTGCTAGAATTACTTTAAGGACTAGGGACTCATGCCTGCAAGGCAATCATGGTACCACTAAGCGCATCCCCAGCCTTGACCATTTAATCTATTAGTGATGAGCAGCTACGCAGTCTCTTTCACTCATTTTTTTCCTGGTCTATGATAAAATTTAATGGTATAAAGAACACTTGGCAAATAGCAAAGTATCTGAAGAAGTTTGTCAAAATGTAAAAAATGAAGAGTCCTACTTACTTCTTCAATCTTGTCACAGTCATGTATTTGGACAGGTTAATTAAGTTTTATTTATGGAATAATTTTGCAATAACCTCTCAGAAATGTCTTTTATAAATATCAGTGCATATATACTACAAAACTTTAAGTTAATTAGGCTTTTTTCTCAAACAAATTCTGGTTGTAAAATACCTATGTATCATATAAGCTCAAAAGAAAACAACAAAACATTTCTTACTAGGTAGAAAAATTTTCAACTCATTTACACATTCACATTCTGTGTATTTTTTCGTGGTCAACAAACTGACTCAAATGGTTTAAGTTATCCCACCATTTAAAGAGAAAAGTGTCCACAATAATTTTAAACCATGGAGTTAACTTAATTTCACCACTGGCTGCTTTCTTCATAAGCTCTTTAAGTTCTTCCTTTGATACATAACAATAGCTTTTAATCTCATTGGGATCTGGATTCAAGGTTACATTCTTCCTCAGAAACAAAATATAATCAATTTCATGTTCACCCCAGATACCATCAGATTGAGCCTTGTAGTAAATTCGTGTTAGATAATGCATTTCATTTGGATCAACCTACAACATAAAAAGAAAGCTCAATTAATAATACTATCAACAAGGTCAAGCATAGTGGTGTATACCTTTAATCCCATTACTCAGGAGGCAGAGGTAGTTGGTTCTCTGAGGCCAATCTGATCTACACAGCAAGTGCCAAGATAGCCAGGGATACACAGAGAGACATTGTTTCAAAAAATGAAAGAAAAAAAAAAAAACCTAATGACCAAAGATAACCTCAAATCAACCCATTTCAAGAGGATCTTTTTTTTTTTCCTTAAATAATTTACTTAATTTTATGTACATTGGTGTGAGGGTGTCAGATTCCCTGGAAATGAGTTACAGACAGGTGTAAGCTGCAATGTAGGTAGGAAGGTGCTGGGAATTGAACCTGGGTCCTCTGGAAGAGTAGCTAGTGCTCTTAACCACTAAGACATCTATTCAGCCCCTCATATCTTGTTTTTTAAATTAGCTTTTTGTGTATGAGTGTTTTGCCTGCATGTATGTCTGTGGACCACTTTGGTACCCTGGGAAATCAGAGGAGAGCAGTTGATCTCCTGGAACCATAGTTTCAGAGGCTTATAAGCTGCCATATTGGTGTTGAGTATTAAACAAATGCTCTTAACTGCTGAGCCATCTCTCTATCCCTTTAACAATATCTTGAATGGCAGAAGCATAGTTTTATAATCAGAGCTTTTAAAACATTATTCTCCCATTGATAGTCTAACCAGCCTTAACTCTAGTTCCAGGGAACTCAACTCTCTCTTTTGGCCTCCACCTGCAACTGACACACATGGCACACAATCATACATGTAAGAAAAACACAGGCATAAAATAAAATAAAAATAGTTTTGTTTGTTTGTTTTTTTTTTTTTTGTTTTGTTTTTAAAGAGGCTGGAGAGATGGTTCACCTACTCTTCAGAAGACCCAGGTTCACTCCCAGCACTCATATGGTGACTCACAGCCATTTGCTACTCCAGTTCGTGGGGCTCTAACACCCTCTTTCTGGTCTTCTTGAGCATCAGGCATATATGTGGTACACATCAATGTAGGCAAATCATAAAATAAAAAGGTGTTTTTTTTTTTTTTTTTTAAGAAGGAGAAACAAAAATGGAATGCATGGCAATAACCCCACATTTAGGAGGCAAAAAACAAGCATATTGTTTGTTGGAAACCAGTATGAGCTTATATAGCAAGACACTGTCTTAAAAAAACCAAAACAATAAAAAATGTAGGTAATATTCCTTATTGAAGGGCTAACTCTAAATCAGGAAGTTATAAAGCACAGACTGTACTACTGTAATCACAGCAATTGGGAGACTGAGGCCTGGAACTGTAACTTAGTGGAGGAGTACTTGCCAGGAATGTACAAAACTCTGGGTTCCACTCAAAGCGTTACTGAAAATTTCCTACTGGTTATCAGTCAATACCTTACCATCCTGATTTAGATTTAAGCTGTAGGCTAGCTAATAAGACTGATTACCTCTTCTAAGGGTATTCCCAATTCAGCTTTTAAGCGCCTCTGTGCAGCTCGTTTTACACCAATGGCATCGTTTTCTTCAAGCTCTCCTGGATTACTTAATGGATGACTACAGCAACTATTCGTGAAACAACCTGGAAAATATTGATTTGAACAAAGTAATCAGATAAATAGAGTCTTATTTTAAGTCAGTTAAAATGGACTCCCAGTATTATTTTCTAAAAGATAGTTATAGATAAGTTTTAATATTTTCTTAAACCAAGATCACTGGGCATTGGTGGTGCATGCCTTTAATCCCAGTGCTTGAGAGGTGGAGGTGGGTGGATCTCTGTGAGTTCGAGGGTACCCTGGTCTACAAAGACCTGTTACAAAGAGAAACCAAACCAAACCAAGAAGATCAACACAGAGATAATTCAGATATTAAGGTTATATCCATTGGATAAGCTTATTTAATGTAAAATATAAATGAAGCCATTTACCAAGCTATTCCTTTTGGACCTTGGCTCCAATAAGTTCAATCAGATTAAAATAGATCCTAGTAGAAACTACATTGAGCATTAAGCATACTAACCTGGAAAGGTAATTTTAGCATCTGATCTCTGCTGTAACAGGAGCTTATTTTCAGTATTAAATAAGAAGACACTAAAAGCTCGATGTAATAATCCTAAAAACAAAATAAATGTGATTGGTCAGAAAATCCCACATATTATACAGTTTTCCCCCTTGTAGTTGAGAACATGACTAGCAACTTGCTGACAGTTCTGCTGTCTTCCAGTCTTCTAACAGGAATTCTGTATGGCTGCTTTGGAGAATAATTCCAGCAAAACCAGCAAGACTCAGTCACCAAGTGAAAGGAATGGCAGTGTCAGCAGCTTTGAGGCAGGCCAAATGCTCTCTTAGGAATAGTTAACCCAGGTCATTTAGTCTCCTGTTTTGGGGTAAGTGTGTGTGGGTAATAGGTTCATTTCTCTTCAAAGACTACTTTTCTTTATAATCTTCAGAAAGACAGGCTTGAGTACTATGTTAGTAGTCTGTTCCTTCTTTATGAGCCCAGAATAATTCTGAAGCAGCTTAGTAAAATACACTAAGTGGAAAGAAATATTACAGGAACTTTTTCTGCTGTATCTCTGGGGAAGCAGGTCACTGTCTCTCTGTTTCTCTCCATCTCTCTCCCTCCCCCCAATAAACTTTCCACATGAGAAAAAAAAAAAAAAAAAAAAAAAAGAAATATTACAGGAGAGGTAGCAAGGTAGATTCTCTACTACACTGTTTAACGTGAATGAAATGTAAAACACCATTAAGAAATGGATCTTTCAGCACTTAGGAGGCAGATTTCCAACCCCCAAAAGAAAAAGCATTCCTTTTATCCCATTATTTTTCTCAGCTAACTGGAAATGTCTAGACAAATCACCTTATATTAAAGAATATTTTTAAAACAGTACCTTTGTCAATGTTTTCATTCAGGTGACAATTTTTCTTGGTGTCAGCCCCGATTTTATTGTCATTTTCATCAATAAGGATACACATCTCTGCCAGAAGTTGAACCTGTTGTTCATCTAGATGGTTGATATTTATTTCAGGCATTGTGACAGAATGTCTGGGCTGACCTAGAACACTAACATTGAGAAAGGCCATAAATACAGTAGAGGAGCATATCTAGACTTGAGCTGAGGAACTAGTTCAGCCATTAAGCTTATAATTATGTTTACTTTTCCTATCTGTAGCCTCACCACTCCACTCCCCTTGGGTTTCTCCAAAGATGCCACTGGCCACTCAATCCTAAACTTGACCATAATTTCTCCTGAAGACACTCACAACTAGCATTTTATAACAGTTGCTCTAAAATGGCAACTCAATGTTCTATTCAAATTATTGAGCCAATACCTCTTGTAGCATTGGGAAGTCAATCCTTTTCCCTTTGTGTATCTTCCCATGCGTGATCTGGTTCCAACCTAACTTTTCATCATATTTTCCCACAAAGAGTCTCTGGATTCTTTATTATATGTTCCCATGGTCATTCCCAGTTTCCTCCCTCCTTTTTTTTTGCCATTCACTTCCTCAGCACAGTTGCTAAAGAATTCCACACATCAGTGCTTACTGAAATCCACATAGTGATGTACATGTTTAATTGCAGCATATAAACAATGTTCCAGTATGATTTTACCCAATCAATCTGGGTTCCTAGTTAGAAAAGATTTATGCAACTATTTTGTCAATTCTTCTAATGGCAGTATATAGATAATATTTTTATGAAGATGCAAAAACTTTATTCACTATATTCAAATGGATGCCTTAGAGCAGTTCCTAGCATTATTATTTTTTTTAAAGCAATGATTTAGTATAGTGTCAATTCTGCCTTTAAAGTGAAAGAACTGGGCAATGCCTAAACTAGACAATGTGAAACAAGATGCAGCTATGTTCCAATCAGTCTTTAATTTATGGGCACTAAAATCTAAACTTCACTTAATCCCTATGTCACAAGTTTTAATTTTTCTCCAGAAAAAAATACTTATAATCCCAACCTTCGTGCAAACACTTAAATTTCTGAACTCTAATCCCTTAAGTGTACATTTATACCACTCTATGTATTTTAACATCTTTTGCACATCTCTATCCAGCAGTTTCCAACTTTTCCAATCTTTGTAGCTTGTGTAGGGAAAAAAGGATAGCCAAAGAAACACACTATAAGCAGAGCCAAAAGAAGCATTCTTTGGTCCTGCAACCAGAACCCAAAGAAATACACCCTGACCCTGAAACTAGTGCCAAAGAAACACACTTTAGCCCTGAAACCACAGTCAAATCTGAACCTGAACCTCTGCTGAAAACCAACCAGTCCCTGAGAATGAGATCTAGCCAATCTGAGCTCAGGGACTGAAATCTGACAAATCATCACCCTGGAAATCTCTCTGGGAAAAAAAACTGCCCAATATAAACCCTGTGCCTGTTCAGCTTCTGGCTGTCCGGCTGTCACCTGCCACCCTGGCAGAGGACAGCCACTGTCCTGGGTTCTTCCCTCCCAATAAGTCTCCTGAATGAGGTTTGGGTGAGACCTTCCTTTGCCAGAGTGGAGAAGAGGAGCTCTAACAGTTTGCTGGGGAAACCTTTCCCTAGGGAAGTGCAGTTGTTATACTCCCTATTGCCAGAATACCTTTCCTTTGAGCTGCCACAATGCTTACACCTTATGCATCTTCCCAGTTTTTTTTTTTTTAATAAGTTTTTCCACACAATTTATTTTTAAGATTCTATGTGCTCTATTTTCAAATACACAGAATCCTGCGGTTGGAATATCACTGAATGGCTACCTACTATAACTTTCTAAAATTAAATACAGTACAGAACTAGTTAGGGGTAAGGGGAATATCACTGACGACAATAAGGCTAAAATACTGAAGATCAAATAAACAGAAAAGTGCTTAATGATTACATGAAAGGACAAGCACTGTAAAAGTGGAGTCCAACTCACAGGATATATTTACAACGTTCATAGACTAATTTAAAATCCTAAGGTAGATTTCATTCTTGTGGAATTACTAAAGTTTTTGAAATAACACCTTTAACTCATGATGCCAGGATAGTAAGACTCACCTTTATGATTACAGGATAAAATGGCATGTTCTTACCCATTTAAATAAAGGTGTGGAGAACACACATCATCTAACTCAAGAAAAAGAACTAGAAACATACATGAGAGAGGCGTCTTCATTTCTTTATAAAACCCACGTGGACATTTCTCAAATACTACACCTGCAAGTCCTCTCTTAAATTAGAAGAAAGCAGCTTAGGGATCGACCTATTTATTCAATATTGATTGGATGAAGACAAGTGAGGTGCTCTATGCTGGAGCAAAGACTACTCAAGTCAGTTCCCTTTTTATAACTCAGCTCCCCAAGACCTATGAACCGCAGCATTTCTCGGACTATAGGACCGCTCCTCTGGGCGTTTCCACGGAAAGCCCGGTGAACCAGATGCTCTGCCACTGGAATGCAGCCGACCACCCAACCCTTCCCATGACCACCCACTCCGCCCCAAGGAGATCGATGCCTAGACTGAAGCAACAGTACCAGGCGACCCTAACATCAAAGACCCACCATGCCGAGCCGAACTGGGAAACCTTGTCACCTCAGCTCCATCCCGCCACCCCTCACACCATCCCTCACGAAAGTCATTCTTACCAGAGATTCCAACAAGATATCCTATGAAAAAGCCCTGAGATGCGCCGTATTTCAACGCTCTTCGCAAGAAGCCCCGCCTCCAGACCACGCCCCCTAAAGGCATGTCCAATTACTCGCGCCAGCGCTCCTCCGCGCCACATGCCCTCAGCCAATTGCCACTAGCGTAGGCCTGACGTCCTCGGCCGCGCCAGGCTGGCGCGCGGTGGTGCCACCTCCCAAGCACTGTGCTACGGAAAACGCTCTGGAGGTTTCGATAGGTGGCTGCGGAACTGGGCCCCTATCGAGGGTGTTGGAGGCTCCTGGTGCACAGTTAGGACCGTCGGCACGCCTAGCTGCCTCGCAAAAGGGAAGCTTTTCCACCGGGAAGTTGTCTTGAGTATGGTGCGACCCAACCGATTGCTAGCCAATGGCACCTTCGACCATGCCCGACTCGCCAATCATGGGGCCGCAAGGCCAGGGCGGGCCCATGACGCTGCCTGGGTGTGTGCGTGATGACGTCATACGTCTTGAGACGGGAGGTGTTTTTTTTCACGGGAACGCCTTGGGGCACTGCTAGGGGCACTGATTTAAAAATCAGTTCAAGAGGACGGAATGAAACTCTAATTGGACTTGATAAAAATTAAACAAAACAAGAAATAACTGCTAATATGTTAGTTTGGGAAATTTACCCCTGCTTCCCCAACATATTACTCCAGAAAGAAAATTCTGTACCTTTGAGTCAGCGATAATTTCCAGGGTGCTTGGCTATGCGGAATAAGTTGTTAAGCAAAGTTAAATGAAAGTAGGGCAGGTTGGGGAACCAGAGTTTGGTCTGGATTAATTTGATAATCATTAAACCATCATGTGAATCCATTCTTAATAATTTTAGTGAAGCAAGGTTATATGTTAGCAGTCTTTCACTACAGGTTATATGAGGTTTGTGTAACTGTTTAAAAATTGTGAAATGTGATGTAACTGGGAAAAAGTTCGTTTATTACACCGAATCATTTATTATTTTTTGTAGTGCATGTGTAGCGTACATTATGTGCATGCATGTGTTCAGGTACATGATGTGTTCCTCTCTTGCTTTTTGGTTTTTTTTTTTTTTTGTTTGTTTGTTTTTTTAGTTAACATTTTAAATATTATAGGTTTATTTATTTTGTGTGTGGGCATACCACAATGCTCTGGTGGAGGTTAGCGGACAGCTAAGAGAGTCACTTGTCTCCTTTCACAGTATGGGTCCTGAATAACAAGCTCCGGTCTTCATGCTTGAGGGTGGGAGTCTTTACCCACTGAGCCATCTTGCTAGCCCCTCCATCTTATTTTTTTTGAGAGAGGGTCTCTCACTGAATTTGGAACTCATTGATTTAGCTGAGATTGGATAGACAGCAAATCCTCATGCCTCTGCTCCCCGGTTTGGGATTATGGGTACACACTGACATGCCTGGCTTTATACATGGGTGCTGGCATTTGAACTCGGTTCTTTATGCTTTCACATTTTACCCAGCCCTCTTCCCAGCCCAATGCGATGGAATTCGATATTCTGACTCTGCCAGCTAAGCAGTTCAGTGCACCAGGTATCAAACTTGTTGGTCTTTAGACACTCTGGACACAGAGCTGTGTGTTACATTAACTAAAATATACAAAGAAAGTTTTATGTGACACTTTAGTAGGCAAACAAGTATTTTTAGTAGCTTTTTCAGCTGATTACAGTCATTTGTGCACATATATATGTATGTACATGTATATATGCAGGTGTGAGTGTGTGAATTTGTATGTGGAAGTCAGAGGTTAATGACAGGTCTTCCTCCAAAAAAAAAAAAAAAAAAGGCTGTGTACCTTATTTTTTTTGAGATAGTGTCTCTCTCACTGAACCTGGAGCTGGAGCTAGATTATTGGTTAGAATGGACTGGGATTATAGGTATACTTACAGGCCCAGTTTTTATGTGGATTCTGGGGATCCAAACTGAGATCCTTTACCTACTGAGCCATTTCCCCTGTCCTGGTTATTTTTTGATGAAACAAGCACAACTGCTGGTTCTTTCTTTTCTACAATAGTTATTTCCAATTTTGAAATCTGGATTTTTTTTTTTTTTTTTTTTTTTTTGGGGTAGGATTTCACTGTAGCTCTGGGCTGGGCTGTCCTGGAACTCTAACTCTGTAGACTAGGCTGATCTCAAACTCACAGAGTTCACCTTCCTAGTGCTGGAATTAAAGGCATGCATCACTATACCTGATTCAGGAATTTGAAATTTAAGAGAACATTTCATACTTTAGAATTTACTGATTTTAATTGTAAACCTAAATACATATTTACTATGCATGATTTTGTAATATGCATTGGTCATTTGAAAAATGAGTTACTGAATTAAGCAAGTCTTCCAAATGTTGACACATTTCATTATTTACTATCATGCAATCACATTAACATCAGCAATAATCTTGAGACACATTAGGCACCTTTCCTGTGGGTCTTGGATAAGAACGAAGCCTTGTTAAAAGACTGTTAAATGCTACTAAGTCATTGATAATGGTGATAATAAGCCTTTATTGTAACTATTCCTTTTTATGTTATTTTCCTATTAGCTGAAATGGGAGGTGAGGGTTGATTGCCTAAATACAGATACCCCTCTCTGGTGCTTAGAATTACTTGAACAAAAGTACTACTAACAAATCAACCAAGCAGCTAGCCACTTTGAATACTCCATGGACATCACGAGGAAGACACAAAACAATGACAGCGGTGTAACTGATGAATCATTACTCCTGTAGCTTGGCTCCTGTAGGTATCATTCCAGATACAACTGTTTGAAATGGTCTACAGCAGGCTTTTTTTTTCCCCATCAGAAGCCTCTGTGAACTAGATGACCATAAAACTTTTCCCATGAAGACAGGGAGGCAGGCACATTCGAGAAATGACTTAGCCATAAAATGGCTGCTCTTGCAGAGAACCTGGATTCAGTTCCCACATGGCAGCTCACAACAATTTTAACTCCAGTTCTGAAGATCTGACACCTCCTGGCTCCCACTAACACCAGGCTTATGTCTCTCTCTCTCTCTCTCTCTCTCTCTCTCTCTCTCTCTCTCTCTCTCTCTCACACACACACACACACACACACACACACACACACACATCCACATAAAATAAAAAAAAAAAAAAAAAAAAAGAAAGAAAAAGAAAAAGGAGCATTTTCTCAGCTGACCTAACAGAAGATCTGTGACTGAAGTTTTTGAAGACAAGATCTTGCTATGTACCACAGGCTAAACTGAAAAGATATGAGTAATCCAGATTAGCCTTGTGTTTCCTCTATAGCAAAGACAGTGTTTGAGATCTCATGTAGCCTAAGGCTGGCTTTGAACTAGAAGTATTTCTTCATCGCAGAGGAAAGTGTCTGAGATGTGAATTGGCCCAACCTTTGTGCCTGGGCTTCCTAAGTACTATGATTTCAAGTATGCACCATCATGCCTAGCTTGAAATGTTTTAATGTACTGTGCTTGTTTGTTTTTATTTGATCAAAACAATGCTAGGAAAAAGGACAAGGGTTGTAAAGATAGAAGGGAAGGGAAGTAAAACTTAGTAGCCCACAAACAGGTAAGTTAATTGTATATTATCTTTGAAGGTTGGAAGGAGATCTATAACTTCTAATTGGATTACTAGCCTTTGAGTTTTTCAGTACTTCATGGTTACAGTCTCCTTCCTATGGATTCCTTGGCTTTTCAGATCCTTTCAACCTATTCCTAACTGGCAGATGCCCTCTATTTTAACTGAACTTTCTAGAAGACTAATTTGGAAAGTTCTGCACTCTTTTTGAATTAGCCTTTATTATGGGTTGTTTGATGTAGATTTTTTTTTTTTGAGTCTGTCCTGGAACTAGCTCTGCAAACCAGGCTGGCCTCGAACTCACAGAGATCTGCCTGCCTCTGCCTCCCTAGTGCTGGGACTAAAGGCATGCACCACCAACACCTAGTTTGATTTATATATCTGCTTTTGTACCAGAATCCCATTTTGGTCCAACCAACAGTACCAAGAATGTGAGTACAAGGTTCAAAAGATAAGTAGATATAAATATAGGAATTTAAAAATCAAATAATTGCTTTTGTTTCTAATTACGTATGATTGCATTGTACATACTGAAACTTTGGCATGATTTCAGAAGTTTTCATCAACTATTCTATTATTACATTATAAGTAGTTTTGTAAGCAGTTTTATGTATTATGGCAAGAAGCAAAGTGGTAGAATAATCCAACTAATAGACTAAGTTTTTAAAATCTTAAGAAAGAAATATAAATATATGGAAATTCTTCTTCCTTATTGCTCATGGTGTCAATAGGAAATGACCCCCAGAGGTCATGTGTTGAAGGCTTAGTCCCCAGTGCAGCAATATAACAGGAGTCAGAAGTTGAGCCTGCAGTCATATCATAAGCATTATGATCTTATCAGTGGATTAATCCCCTAGTGCACTGACAACTGAAGGAATTGTTAGGAGATAATGGAAATGTTTAGAGCCTAGTTGGAGGAACCAGGTCACTGGGAACAAATTCCTGAAGATTATAACTTATTTCTGCCCATGCCTTTCTTTGCTTCAGGAAGGTGATCAGCTTTGCTCTGTCATGCCCTCTCTAGCATGATGAACTCCTTCCTATCCCTACAGGCTCAAAGTCAATACAGCCTAGTCACCATGGACTGAAATTTCTGAAATGATCAACTAAAATGAATAAATTCCTCCTTTGTTTATTCAGGTATGTGATCATGGTAATGGAAAGCTAATTAACAAACTCAGTTTGAGAAATAGTTAATGAGTGTTACAGTAAAGTCAGATGAGTTGGAGAGGTGTTTGAAGAGCATGCCTGAGACCTCAGCATGACCTTAGGTGAGTAGTATATCACTGGACTACATACCCAGCCCTCTCTTTTCACTTTTAAAAAAATTGATATAGGTTCTCACTAAGTTACCCAGGCTTGCCTTTAACTCACTCTACAGCCTAGATATGCATCAAATTTGTGATCCTCTCATCTCAAGTTCCTGAGTAGTTGTGGCTACTGACCTGAGCCACCAGGTCAGTTGATTCTTCTATTGCATTGTGATATCATTATTATTCTTTGAATATCTGGAATCCTTTAGGAAGAGGGGGAAAAACCACATAACATATGTGTGATTAGGTTGGATGAGAATATTCTTGAAATATTTATTTAAAACAGCATTTTGAGGGTTGGGGAGATGGCTTAGATATTGAAGTGAAAACATGAGGACTTGAGTTTGATTCCCGGAACCCACATAAAAAAGATTAGCATGAGTTCGAGGGCACACACCTTAATTCTAGCACTCAAGAGGCAGAGAGAGACAAATGAATTTCTATGAGTTTGAGTTAAAAGTGAGTTCTAGTCCA